AATTAAAGAAAGAAATGACATATTGCATTAGGCAAATCTGTTGCACAAGACCTCTTTAAAGCGTTCAAGACCAAAGATAAAATTTTGAGGACTAAGGTGCACCAGACCCAGGTCATGGTATTTTTAATCACCTCATATGCACGTGAAAGTTGGACACTGAATAAGGAAGACCACAGAAGAATCGATGCAATTTGAATTATGGTGTTGGCAAAGAATATTGAAAATATTATGGACTGCAAGAATAAATATATTTGTCTTGGAATAAGAACAGTCAGAACACTCCTTAGAAAGTAGGATGGTGAGGCTTTGTCTTTCATTCTTTAGACAAATTGTCCAGAGAAAATCATCAAATTTGGTAAAGTGGAGCGTCAACAAGAAAGAGGAAGACCCCCAACAAGATGGACTGACACAGTGCCAGCATCAGTAGGCTCAAACATAACAATTGAGAGGATGGAGCAGAACTGGGTATGTTTTCATTTTCTTGTGCATGGTGTTGCTATGAGTCAGAACTGACTTGATGGCACCTAGTAACAAAGTAACTCATTTTTAACCTAATTTATATTAACTTCGTCTGGAATAATAGATTATTGCAAAGGTCAGTTAACCCAAGTTATATAAAATCTCAGGGTACTTGGCCTGTACAATGTAAGTGTAGAATTACATAATACAAAATGATTCAAGGAAGATGTAAAAGTAGTATTATGTAACAAAATTATTTTGCTATTTTCTGAAAACAGCAATCCCATTAAATTAAATACTTCTATAAATATGCAGACTTCAATATTTATTTTAAACAAACTCCACTGACAATGGTCCTCTAACTTGGTTTTATGCACAAGACCTAAGAGGCCAAGAATGGTCTACTTTGGTCTTATTATGACTTGTCTGTTTTAACACAAGCATAGCCTTCTCCCTCCTGAGATGAGGATGTGATGTTCTCATTTTAATTAAAAACATACCATCATGATATCTGGTAAAGAAGGCGGCCAATCTCAGTGGAGAGAGTGAAGTCTTTGATCTGGAAGTCTTTCATTAGAAAAGTGAAGAGCTTCCTTCCTAGGCTGTTACTAAAAATGCCAGAAAGGTCAGCGCGCTTAGAATCTTTTTCAGTGAAGACAGCTCTGATGCTGAACTTCTTAAAACATAGAAAAAAGGATAGTTCACTTTTTATATCTTGGTCAGAAAAATTCAGATGCTATTTTAAAACACACCTAAGTCTCTTATCTATGTTTATTCTAGATATCTCAAGATCACAAGGCTCTTTATTATTTTAGGCCAGAAATCCAAAGCTGTTCAGAAATTTATGTGATGACAACAGCTGTCTCTTTGAAAACTTGGCTAAGGGCAAGGGGCTGGCAGTAAAATATGAAATGATGATATTTGAAAATATTTCAGGAAAAGTGAAATTTAAGTCAACAACTGAAGAATGAGTCCTGGTGTGGCGCTGTGGGTTAATGCTCTGGACTGCAAAGTCAGTTTGAACCACAAGGTCAGCTGTTGAAGCTCACCAGCTGTTCCTCGGAAACCCTACACAGGGTTACTTTGGCCCGGAACCAACTTGAAGGTACTTAACAACAACAACAACAACCAAAGAATGAAGGAGCTCAGTGGTTAAGCACTTGGCTGCTAACTGTAAGGTCAGCAGTTGAAACCCAATTATCTGGTCCATGGGAGAAAGATGCGGCAGTCTGCTCTGTGAAGATTATAGCCTTGGAAAGTGTAATAGCAGTTCTATTCTGTCCTATAGGCTCCCTAAGAGTTGGAATCAACTTGATGCCAATGGGTATTTTTATGAAGGATGAAAGGGTTCACCAGGTAGTCCAGGGACAGAAGAGGCTAGCAACAGAGACAGATGCACAGAAAACAGATCAGGAGGTGCTTTAGGATGTCACAACCTAGGCTGCAGGAGTGTGAACGCAGATTCTGTTGACAAAAATTGGCAGTGTCACTTTATGAAATCGTTGGGTGGACTGCATCTTCAGTTAATAAGGAGCATAAAGAGGCAGTTATTTTATTTTATAAAGAAATCAGTCACTACAAGCAGAGCGCTGGGCAGATTTGGAACAGACAACACTGAACCATTGCTATTAAGTGTCGTCGAATGGGTTCTGATTCACAGTGACCCTTTACAGAGTTTCCAAGGAGCAGCGGGTGGGTTTGAACTGCTAACTTTGTGGTTCGCCGGCCAGTGCTGATCCTACAGCTCCACACAGAGACTAGTTAAGAGGTTACAGCAGAAGTGGAGCAGAGATGAAGAGAGTGTGAGCCAATGCGATGTCAGGAGAGAGCAGGAGTCAAAGGGGAACAAGGGAGCAGAGCTCTTTGATTCCACAGTCTTGAAGGAGAGCCTTTTTCCAAAGAAGTGTAAAACAGAGTCACCAGCCCCCAAAGGAGGGAGCCTCTATGCTACAACAAAACATCCAGATAAAGCTAGGTTAAAATCTGGCCTTCGTTCTTTAACTTCAGTAATTCACTTAACCTCTTTGAAGCTCACACCGATCATATTGTTGTATTGTTGTTGTTGTTGTTGTTAGGGGCCATCGAGCCAGTTCTGACTCAAAGCGATCCTGTATAGGGTTTCTGAGGCTATACAGCTTTCCAGGACCAGAAAGCCTCATATGTAGTTAGTCAACATGCTTCAATGCCTTATGTAGCTGTTAGGAGGAACAGGGATGAAAATGTAAAGTTGTAATTTTGTGATGAGTACATAATAGGCATTCATGTCTAAGAAAGAAACAAGATTCCCAGATACTTGTATGGTTCCGTATTTTGTATTTCTAAAAGACAAAAATGTGCGTGTTAGGCCAACATTTTATTTCTGGAGTCCAGAAAGCACTTATTTAGCAGTTTTCTATCAATAGAGCTAAAAGAAATAATTTGGAAGGATTTGCATCAAATGTTCGAGTGTTAACTGAATACACTTAATGTGTAATATACACCCTCTGGTAGGGATGTTTGCCTTGTACTAGAAATCCTGAGAATCACACAATTAGCTTCCATTTATCAGCTCCATGGATTATTTGAAGATGCTCTGGATGGTTTATATGACATCAATGTTACAGAATGCTCTCAGATCTTAATTTCCTAAGCAAAATAAAGAAGAAGTGCGATTCTGTGAATTATTTCTCTGAAACACAACACACACATACCCTCCCAGGTTTCTATCTACCATGCAACTTGATCCCCACTCTTATCAAAGTGTCCTCTAAATGATCAGCAGCTTTTTTCCCACCTCTTTGCCTTGCTAGTGATGTTCACTTTGCTGGGAATAACTCTGATTCTCCTTTGAAACACTGGTTTAACGACATCTGTCTTTTCAGGTTCAGAATGAACATACCTCATTCATAAACTCTCTTATGATTCATAAATATATATTTATACATACACACACATATAAACATATGTATATATACATATGCACATATATACACATATGTATATATATATATGTGTGCGTGTGTGTATATATATGCAAAGATACGCACATACATACCAGGGAGCCCTGTAGCATAGTGGATACATGTTGGACTGCTAACTGCAAGGACAGAAGTTCAAATCTGCCAGATGCTCCATGGAAGAAAGATGAAACTTTCTACTCCCATAAAGATTTACTGCCTCGGAAACTCTATACAGGGTTGCTATCAGTCAGGACTGACTCTATCTATCTATCTATCTATCTATCTATCTATCTATCTATCTATCTATCTATGTATGTATGTATGTATCATCCATCTATCTATCTATCTATCTATCTATCCATCATCTATCTATCTCCTGGTGTGGTGCTGCATGATAAGCACTGGACCACAGAGTTGGTTTGAAATGCAAAGGCTGGCAGTTCAAACTCACTAGATGCTCCTTGGAAACCCTTATATAGGGTCACTGTGAGTCAGAACTGACTTGAATGTACTTAACAACAATAACGTGTGTGTGTGTGTGTGTGAATGAGAGTCTTGGTGTGGCACTATAGGATAAGCACTGGACTGCTAACCACAAGGTCGGTGGTTCAAACCCACCAGGCATTCCTTGGAAACCCTATACAGGGTTGCTGTGTGTCAGAACCGACTCGATGGCACTTAACAACAACAACAAACTATTGGGCAGAAAAAGACGTATTTATTTGTTCAGATCAGTTATCTGTATAGAAATATGAAGCAGAGAACTGAAAATTGTATCCCACCCTCTCTTTTCTGTCAGTCTCCTTTTTGTTTTTTTGGTGGGGAAAGGAGAGGCAGGAAGAGGTGAGCCACAGAGTCCTTACTAGTAGTAGTCTAAGTAATGAGAAAGGAGCTCTGGTAGCGTAGTGGTTACGAATCGGGCTGTGAACCTCAAGGTCAGCAGTTCGAAACTACCAGCTGTTCCGCAGGAGAAAGATGAGGCTTTCTGCTCCCATAAAGATTTGCAGCCTCGGAAACCCTGTACAGGGTCTCTATGAGTCAGAACTGACTAGATGGCACGTAACAACAACAACAAGTAATGAGAAGATTGAGAAAAAGAATTTCTGGTATTTTAATTAATTTGATGAAATGAATCCTCTACATTAAGAAACTATTGCACTCTCCATTTTACTCCCCTAGCATAGATCAGCAAGCTGACTGTTGAGTAAATAATAAAAATAACTGGGTGTAGTTCTTGGTTTTCTTCAGAATGCACTGTATACCTGGTACAATACTGAGACTCCACACATTCTCAAACTACAAAGTTGCCTTTCAGAAATGTATGCAGACTTTTCACAGAAAGAGGTTTGTTAAGGAGTTGTTTTAAAGACAATCAAACGTGTATAGAGTTTCTAATTTAAAATATCAAGCTAAACCTCAGACTCTTAGCCTTCTGACGAAAGGAATTAAAACTCGGCTGGCACCTCAGGAATAAGCTAGCAGGGAACAATGTACCTTTAAAGCCATCTCTTGGATAACAGTGAGCTTATCAATCATTTGTTCCAGGCAACTTAAGAAAAACAGATGACATAATACATCCGGCTAGAGTTTAGTAAACACTACCTGTTATTTGCTTTTTAGTCTCCAAGTCTCTGGTTTGCTTCAGCACCTGGAGCAGACGAGGCACCCCATTTAGTTCAGCTACCTCCACCTTGTTGTCATTGTCTTCAAATACCAAGTTTCTTAAGGCTCCACACACAGCTCTCTGAACATCTTCATTTTGAATTTTGAGGAGTTGCAGAAGTTTGGGTATGCCATGGAGTTGATTAACCTGGGGAAGGAAGCAGATGCACATAGCACATCTTTATCAATTTTAATGTGACATCAAGCTATTCAGTAGAATATGAACAGATGAAGTTCATTGATGTAGATTATAAACCCAACCAAACAACAGTTCTATGTGTGGCTCAACCTGAGCCTCACATTGTAAATCTTATCCCTGCTGTAACAGAGCATCTGCCATCAAAGAGTTAACAATCATTTTGGGATGGCAAGGCTGAAACCTATGAAGATTAGAAGAGAAACTTAAGTGGCAAACAGTGGAAAAAGGTCTTGAGCACAGTAAGAGCAAAGAGAACTGGGACATCAGGAAAGTCTTATGGAAGAATAACAAATTATGTGTGTTTTTCTCAGCCTAAAATTTAAAAGTCAGTATAAAATAAATGAAAATCATCATCATTAACAGTAGAAATAAAAACTCATTTACCATGCCAACCCTAGTAGGGATGCAAGCTAACTCTAGACGCAAGGCCAACTGCTTACAATATTTAAAAACATGTTAGAGGCAGCTTAAAAAGTTTGTGGGAAATTGAATTAAAAAATAATAGAGTTTTCACATGAATTTTTTAAGTTCCCTCCAATGAAATTACACAATACTTTTATTTCATTAAAAAACAATTATAGTTTTTGCACCTGCAATTATTTATAACCCCAGAAACCCTACACAAGTTTCCTATGAGTTGGAATTGACTTGATTGCACTTAACAACAATAACAACAGCACACTTCCTTATGAAGTTCTGGCACAGTGCTATAGAATAGGCACTGGACTGCTAGCCACAAGCTCAGTGGTTCAAACTCACCAGCCAGCTCCTTGGAAATCCTATATAGGGTTGCTATGAGTCAGAACCAACCCTACACAGCAATTAACATACTTCCTTATAAGCAAAAAAGCACAATTTATTATAAAACAGCCTTTAACTCACTGGTTTCACCAACATCCTCAATTACTATAAATTGGTGAAGTTTTAAGATTGCCAAACTCACTCTACAAATTTCATAAATGCCAGCAAAAAGAATTCACAGAAGCAGTATCTATACACATCAGGTACTAAAAGGAAACTTTATTTGTCCTGAGGTATTCTGACAGCTTGAGAAATATTTTATTACTGAATTTATAATTTACAAGTTGCCTTCTTCAAATATGATGTGAGATGGCTTACTCGGCACATCACATCGCATTCCTTACTGTGATGGTCACAAGGAGAGTTGGACTGGGAACGACTCTCCCACTTTGAGCAGGGAGCATGGATGGCAGTGCTTCTATTCATCACCTTTCCCTAGTTGGTTCCCTTTCCCAGTCACCTTTATCCTCTTGGCTTTCAGCACTCACTCCAGCATTGAAACAGGAGATGTAGCTAAATCCATTGATCAGAGAAATGCCTAAATCCTGCTACCACTCTGCTTACTGTATAATTTGACTCCCTAGGGTCTAGCATTTAACTCAAGTTTAGAAGAAAGCAGACTTCAGTTATTATTTGTTTTCAAGCAAATGGGTATCTGTTATGTTAAATGCAACACATTGACAGCATTCTCCTCATTGCTTTTAGTCAGTGATGAGTTGACTAATGGATTTTTGGTCCATTAAGACCAAAGTCAAATGCTCTTGCCCCTTTGAGTTCAGGGAAGAAGTTGGGGCAGGAGAATTCTGACGAGTTTCCCAGTCCTGAATCCTGTGGGGTTTTGATTCCTCCCTTCACCCCATCTGGGAAAAGAAAAAAAGGAATAGACTAACAAGAATGTCTCAGAACTTCAAAAATTCTTTCATTTGAGATACTTTCTAAGCATATAAAAGGGCAAAACTACAAGTTAGAATCTCAACTTTTCTCTTTGAATCTATTCTGATTCTGTTCCCTGCCAGCCATAAAACAATGAAATGACGAGGCTTTCTGGTAGCAAATAAGCAAATGCCAGGGCACTGACTGACTCTCTTGGGGCTAAGGCTCTTCTGAGTCCCCACTCCTTTACCCCAGCTTCCTTCCCCAGTCTGTTACTCTGCCTCTCCTCTGACAAAACCCTCCTCATCCCGCAGGACCCAGCTCAAATGCCACCTCCTCTGTGAAATGTCACTCCAGTTCCTTTTTCTCCTCTCATTAGAGGGAACTACTCTTGTAAATTAGTATAACCTTTCAAGGAGACAATATGTGTCAACTTAGGAAAAAAATCACTTCTAATACCTTATACTGAGAAGACAGTCTGAAATGCATACACAAATAATAATTGCATTCTTTATGGGAACGAACAATAAAAAAGCCACAGATGTTTAGCAATGGTGTGAAGGTTGGTTCACAATTAAATTTCTAATATCCACATGCTGAGGCACCCATGGGTGAAGTTAAAGCAGTGTCTGGAACTGACAGGTATTTTACTAGTCAACTGTCTACTCAGTCAAATGAGGATTCATTCTGTGGAAGCTTAGTAATCACGTGGTAGGCCTACTGGAGTTACTTACGGAGCAGCAGCAGCTTCTCATACCATTAATATTATGCAGCTAAAAATGGATTTTATAGAGTGATTACAGGTATGATGAAATGCTAGTGATGTTATTGGAAAAAAACAACAATAAAAGTAGCCAGACATAAAGAGGAGAATGAGATTAAGGGAATAGGAGAAATGGTGAGAGCAGGAGTCATGAATGGGGCCCAATTTTTATATTTTTAAACAACAAACATGTATCTTATCTTTATATGCTTTTTTAAAAATTAAACACAAAATAATCCCCACAAATATATTCAGTTTGATTACAAGTATATAAATGCTGTATTAAATTTTTTGTAGTGGAAACCAAAATGATGAACAATGAATGGTAGAATCATGGGAACTCTTTTTTCTTTTACTTCTTAATTCCTCAAATTTCTAGCAATGAGTGAATATTGATATAATAAGATTTTATCTGACAGTTTCTAGGTAGGTAATGAGGTTGGAAGCCAGAGGAAACAGGGTGACTCTCTCAAGGAGGACCTTGTAGAATGAATGATGGGACCTGTCATTTATCTTGCAGGCAACATAGGCAGCTATTGGGAAGATTTTTCTAGGTGTTGTGAGGATAATATGGGTTGAGATTAGATAAGAATGGTGGTAGAGAGATCAATGAATGGAGCTGAAAGTAAAGGGACTAGACTAGTAAGTAGCACTGAATAGGGAACAAAAAAATGTGGGCTCATTCAGAATACTTCTAGAAATAGCCTAAATAGGACTTAAAATCTTAGTGACTATGGGAAGTATGGAAAAAAGAAGGTTCAAAGATTGTTACAGTTTGCATGTTAACCTACTTGGGTGGTGGTAGTACCATTCAATGACAGAATAATATATTGGAATTATTATTTCAGGACAGGCATTGTGTACCATTTTATGATTGATTTCCTACAACAACCTTT